TTTTTTTTTTATATGTACAGTGTCGAACAAAAGTTTTGGCACAGTAAATATTCGCATTACATATATGCAAAGTTTTTAATTGATTTCCGATAATTTTTTATAAAAACATAGTTCATACTATATCAAAACACATAAAAATCAAATGTGTAAACTTTGTGCAAAACTCAGGAAAATCCAATAAATCTGCATACTAATTTGCAATTTTATATTCAGATTTTCAAGCAACTTCAAACTTGCACTTTGATAAACTAAAACTGAATGGACTACTAAACTGCATACTTGGAATTCTTTTAAAAACTACTTTGCCTATATTGCGTAAAATTCACTGTGCCAATACTTTTGTTCGTTACTGTAAGTAAATGAAACTTTAACTTTAAAAAACCAAAAAAAAAAAAATTTACTATATTTCAAAATTATTTTTCGAATCATAAATTTTGTTATGATTAACAATGTATTTAATTTTTTTTTGGTTTTAAATCCTTTTTGCTTTCAACACGAGGTATCTTTTTTCTATTGTCATAGCCATAACTCCCTCTCTATTTTTATCAATCAATCAATCAATTTTATAATTTTTTTTCGGCATTTTTCCTAAATACAAGTAGAGCTTTATAAAACTTGTATAACACCAAATGTTTATCAAGCTTAGAATTTTGTGTTATCCGGGCAGGCTTATTAATTTAACCAGAGAATATGTTTTCTTTATTAAGTTTACCCAGTACCCCATTTTAAACTGCTGCCTGTACTGTATCAGAGGTTAAAACTTGTTAAATTTTTATTTAAAATTTTCGGTAAGGAATAAGCGAGTGGATGAAAAATATATAACGGTAAGAACGGCCCATATATATGTATATGAAAGAATACACACATGCGACGTCTCTAGCCATTGTGTGTCACTCCTTTAAATTATAGTCATTTTTTTCTTATTGTATTAAAAAAATAACGTTCGTAACACTTTAGTAAATATTAATCCATATATTAACTTAGTATATATTAAAGACTAGAAGATGACCCGGTGAACTTCATATCATCTATAATTTATCTGATTAAAAATTTTCACTATGGGGGTATCCCCCATCCCCCTCCCTCCTTTGCGAGTTCCAATTTTTTTACGCTATTATAGGTCCAGTAGTGCGATTCACTAACTTTTAACAACGCTACTTGCCGAGTTGTAAACTAACAATTTTTGTTGTTTGCAGTAACGATTGTACGATTCTCTAACGTACCCATTAACAACACTAAACAGCTGACTTTTGCTATTTATTTAAAATGATAAAAAGTGGCACCTCTGTTACCCGAAATGTCAAAATCTACGAAAAGCACAAAAGGGAATAGGAAAAAAACGCAATTTACCACAGATTCTTCTTAAAAATGTAAGTATTTCAATAAATTGATGAATAAATAATTTAACTAGCTATTGTTCTTTTATCGCAGGATGGCCTCGACTAGCCAAGCAGCCAACAAGCGGAGCCGCGCTTCAATGGAGCAGTTGAGTGGTATGCTGGACTTCTTTTTGGAAAACCCGGGACTAGCCGGTGGGAAGTTTCATCGGCTACACGGGAAGATGGAGCACGAGAAGAAGTGGGAGGAGATGGCTTCCAAGCTAAATGCCATCGGAGGTGCTCAAAAGTCCGCCGAACAGTGGCGCACAGTAAGTAATAAGCCCATTAAGTTTGAACGTACCAGCAAGCAACGGTGCTGTGCGTATGAACTGGTGAATTGGGAAAAATTAATCACTTTTATTTAGGTCTGTCGTTTGTGAAAATAATTATTAACGTAAGAATATCGGTTTTCTTATAAAAGTATATATACAAGTGGAGTCAATCCCATGCATTGTCACTGCACAGTCTCGTTAGTTGTGTGTACATGCATTCATTGTTTGGAACATTGTACCTGTTAATTTTTAATGATACTTTTTTCTTCTTACGTAAATAGGTATGGCGCGATTTGAAGAGCAGAACCAGTGTTCGAGTGCGCGATAGGAAAAGGCAGCAGGCGTTAACCGGCAACAAGCCCGTTAAGCAAGCTCCTTTAACAGAGCTAGAGGAGCGGGTTGTGGCCATCATCGGGAGCAATTATATTGAGGGCCATGAATCTGTGGCAGAAAATGTACCAATGAACTTGGTAAGTTTTAATTGACTTATTTCTGACTCAGTATTAACCACTTTTTCATTATTAGGAGCTCCAGTTGGCCATGGAAGAAGGTGAGGAGATTGTTTTTCTGGATGAGGTGGTGGAGTGCGAAGGTTTGATAGAGGAGGAGACGCGACCGGAAACTCCAAAAACTCCTACACTCAGAACCCCGCGCAGAGGATTGAAGAGAAAGAGAGAGGAGGAGCAGATCGACGTCCAAAATAAATTTTTGGAAATTGCCAAAACGCAAGCCGATGCAACGAAAGTAAATATTTTATTAATAGATTTTGGAATTTTTAATGATTGTTTTTTAAAATACATAGATGCTGTCAGAAAGTTTCGCCAGACTGGTGGACCTACCATTCCAGCTGGCGGGGGAACTCCGCGGATACGGAGAGGGGTTGAAAGCCTGTGCTGATGCCATAAACAATTTGGCCAGGGCACTCGGTCCACAATAATTTTTTTGAAAAAAATTAGGTTAAGAAAAACTAAAAGTAGATTAAGAATTAGGTTAAGAAAGTGAATTGGTACCTTTTAATTTTCTGAAGAATATTATTATATTCAAATACACTGGTGGCCTCATAATTAGAAATCCGAGTTCACAAGTTTTTTTTATTTTTTTTCTTTTTTGTTTTAATTTATTTTAAGAAAAAACCATAGAGAAAAGTTGTAGACTTGTACTTGATTTATAAAAATTCGAAAAATTTCAGAAAGTCAATATTTCAAACTTTTTAATCAGAATTTCTGGAAAAAATTCGTCTGTTTTATAACCTATTAAATTTTTATATAAATTGTGTAACTTTTAAGTAACTCAAAAATCTCATTGGTTTTTTGAGATTTTTTTTCGCTGACGTTGTGCGTTTTCTACTATATAGAAGAATGTTCGAACAGTACTTCGTATGGAAGAAAATGCACAACAACGTCAGCGAAAAAAAAATCTCAAAAATCAATGAGATTTTTGAGTTACTTAAAAGTTACACAATTTATATCAAAATTTAATAGGTTATAAAACAGACGAATTTTTTCCAGAAATTCTGATTAAAAAGTTTGAAATATTGACTTTCTGAAATTTTTCGAATTTTTATAAATCATGTACAAGTTAACAACTTTGCTTTATGGTTTTTTCCTAAAATAAATTAAAACAAATAAAGAAAAAAATAAAAAAAACTTGTGAACTCGGATTTCTAAGTATCAGGCCAACAGCGTAGTTATTTTTTTAAGACTGAATTGATCTCTTTTGTATTTATTTAATTTTTCTCTTTATTTTTTAAGTTAATGTTTTTAAATTAAATATTTTTATTTAACACTACATACAAAATTCTGTGAATAAAGTACCTGAATGTGCATTTAATTTTAAAGCTGTGGAAGTTTTTAGTAAATTATTTTGATAAAAATTTTTTTACAAGATTCACAACGTTTTACTTGAAAAATTTTATATACAAATATAGTAAAATCTATAACATATACCAATTAAGTCAAAATTTAAAACTTTGTGCACAGTTCAGAAAAATTTAACAAAATCAAACATTTTATCAAAATTTTCAACTTTTTTTCAGAACTTTAGAAACTTACTGGGTATGCAGTTTTGTTGCTTATTCAATTTTAGGACAATAATGTGGAGGTTTGAAAGTTCTGAAAAATCCCGTTGAATTTTGAGAATTTTTTGTCGGGTGTTACGCATTTTCTTCCATACAACGCATGAAAAAATATATTTTTAAAAGGAAGAAAATGCGTAACACCCGACAAAAAATTCTCAAAATTCAACGGGATTTTAAGAACTTTCAAACCTCCACATTATTGTCCTAAAATTGAATAAGCAACAAAACTGCATACCCAGTAAGTTTCTAAAGTTCTGAAAAAAAGTTGAAAATTTTGATGAAATTTTTGATTTTTATTCAACAACTTTATTGAGCTTGAGGCCGTTTTTTATGAAAAACTATTGTGGAAAAGCAACAATCACAGTGCTTAGGCAACTGGCTGAGTCAGCTGGGGTCGTTGGATCGAATCCCAACTGAAGAAGTCTAATGAGATGTGGTGATCTCCGAAATAGCTATCACTTCTATCATTTTTATAAATTATTGTTGCTTTTCCACAATAGTTTTTCATAAAAAACGGCCTCAAGCTCAATAAAATTGTTGAATATAATTGTTGAACATAAAAAAATTTATCAAGTAAAACATTGTGAATATTGTAAAAAATAAAAGTGTGCTATTTACGTGAGCAAAACTTGTTGTGAAAAATGCTGATGGAGGGTATTGAATATAAGCTCTCGATATACATACATACATACATATACAGTCGCTGTGGCCGCGGAGAAACTAATTTTTTATAAAAGTCTATCTCATGATATCACAAGCAGCATATAAGCCCACATTTCAAACTGTATACACAAAATGGTCAAAATGTCACTAACTTAAATGATTGAATACATATGAATATTGTAATTGCGTTTATTTAACTTATATACTTATGTTTTTGAATGGATTAATACATTTTTGCTTGAGTTTTCATTTTCCTTTTTATTTTAAAAAATCATTTAAAAAGTTTTCCTTTAATTGATAATGATTGCGTTGATTATTGACCGTTGAAAATAATTTAATAATTGATTTTTGAGCTATAGGCCGTATGTTAAATAAAACATTAAAGGTTTTTCTGCTTTATTAACTTTTTATTTTTATTTTGGTCGATATTTCGCCTGAAGATGCCTTGAGACTGAAATATCGACCAAAATAAAAATAAAAAACTAATAAAACAGAAAACCTTTAATGTTTTATTTAACATACGACCTAAAGCTCAAAAATAAATTATTAAATTTAATTGATAATAACAGTTTACAAGAAATCTGACCTGTGGCGTTTTAACATCTTTTTTTTATGTAAAATTTGTCCTTGAATACAAATATGCAGTCAGAGATTTAGAAAGTAAATCCGTTGTCGAGGTATATATAAATTTGAATGTAAATTTCTTTTTTTACTAGTGAAGCTTGTTAAATTTGCTATCATCTATGCCAACATGCATATTCAAATTTGGCAATAAATCAATAATGTTGAAATAAATGATAGCAAATGTAAAAGCTTTACTGGTATAAAAAGAAATTTAAATTCAATGAGTGAACTTGTTTCAGTTCTCAAAAAACCGAAATTTATATATACCTCGAAACGGATTTACTTTCTAAATCTCTGACTGCATGTTTGGATTCAGGGGAAAATTTAACATAAGAAATAAGAAGAAAGCTTATGATCTAGTGTGATTAATTTTAATATACCATTAAGGCAAAAATACCGTGTGATATTTACATTTTTAATAAAGTATGTACTTATAAATATTTGATTCTAAGCTTTAATTTTTTGAACTGTTATGGCCGTTTTCTCAAGTAGCCTGTAACTTTAAAGCTCACTTTATATTTAAAGGTTGCATTAAAGTTTATGATAGTGTCTAAAGTAAATCATTTTTTTGTCGGTTTTAAATTGATTTACAACCAGGAAACATACATACGTCAAAAACCGATAATAGAAATGCTTAACTTTAGACATAGCTTTATTTTTAATCCAACCTTTAAATATATAGTGAGCTTTCAAGTTAAAGGTTACTTCAGAAAACGGCCCTTAGAAGTGTAATCATACAAATTTTAGGAAAAGAAGTTTGTAATCAATCTTTCTTGTACACGTTTTGCAGTGGAAGATGATGCATTTGGGCTTTCGAAAATTCTGTCAGAATTCTCAAAATCTGTTGAAAAATTTTCAATAGGATCGCTAATTGACCGCTCACTTAAACGAATGTTATGAAGGGCTGCACACGCGTTAACGACTTTACCAGCGAAAGCGGGGTCATACAACAGAACCCTTTGTTGTGAAAAGCATCGCCACGTTCCTTTAAGGACGCCAAAGAGTCTCTCAATCGGGTTCCGTGCCTTGCAGAGCGCTTCATTGTACCGAAATTTTGGTGACCCTTCTGGCTGGTTGGGTAAAGGAGTCATGAGCCATGGCTCTAATGGGTATCCAGAATCCCCTTAAAGAAACATCTTTTAGTATTATATTTTAAAATAAATTAACAAAAATAAATACCAATCAAAAACATATTGCGGTTTCCATTTTCAAACGCTCGCTGCATGACTTGTCGCACAGCGGAAGAGCTCCAAATATAGGAGTCATGTCTTGCTCCCGGATACCTGGCATTCACGTTCAGGATTTTAAGATTTGGGTCACATATCTATAGCAAACACAATAAACAATTAACACTATACTTCATTTCAAATGCTTTGCTTACCATTTGCACATTTATGGAGTGATATCCATGATGATTAACGTATGCTTCCTCATTATTTTTAGGACCCAAAATGGATATGTGGGTGCAGTCGATCGCCCCGATGGTTCCTCCGACAAAAGGCGCAGGAGCTAAGGAAAACGCTTCCTTGGCAGCTTGACGTTCTATTTGGGTCATGGGGAACTTCACTTCCGACAAGAATAAGCGGCTATTGATGGCTTCGGTTACCTTGTGTATGCAGCGGCTGGTTGATGACTGACTCAGTGAAATTCCCCATTGTTCCCCCACGGGCCGTTGATAACATCCCGTGGCGTAGAATCGCAAAGCGCACAGAACCTTTCAAAACAAAAGTGAATTTATTGACACATGTAAAACTTTATTAAAAGTAAATATTTAATGCTTTACCTGTTTTTCAGCCGATATCGCTGTAATTCGTGAACCTTTTAAAAGGTCTTCCAGCCGTTCAACCACGTCCGCCACCATGCCTGGACGCACACGGTAAAGCTTCCGGAACTCTGAAGGTGGGAGTTCTAGGGGATTATCAATATCCCGCAGAAAACGCCGATCCACCGTTGAAAAATTTGTCTCTGGCTCGTTTTGAGACAAGCTTAACGCTACAAATTCGAAAGCCATCTCTAATTTGTATTTACTCCTTTTTTTCGTATTAAGTTACTTTTATTTGTTTAGATATTTACGCTAACACAAAATTGACAACTCCAATTGAGATGTCGACAATTTAGCAATAGCCGAATCGTAAACGATAACAGCTGATTTTTCGAAGGCCGGTGTTGTTAAGGAAACGTTTTCTGAATAGCAAAATCGATAAAATTGTTGTTTAGTTGATATAACGATAACAAGTGTTGTTAAAATAGAGTAGTGAATCGCACTACAGGAGTCATGGCAATACTTTGGCAAAATTTTATTCAATTCTGTCCATCCGTTTAGGCTGCAACCTGGCACATACATACATACATTCTTCCACAAATATGTAGTAGATTTGATTTGAAGCGCCATATTGCGGTTCTTTAAATAAAAAATAGATATCAGAAATGAATTTTCCATATCACAAAACTCCGGAGCACAACTCTTTATTACAAAAAAAAAAATTCCTAACACTTTAGTAAATATTAATCTGATTATGGACTTAGTATTAATTAAAGATATTTTCTTTTAAAATTGCGCAGGCTCGAAATTGATTTTAGGGCTATGGTCTAAAGGGCTTTTTTTCTTAGAATTTTATGTAGAATCCGAATCTGCTAGGAACGATGTCGAAAAAAAAATTGACCCGCCCTAGTATATATAAATGAGTTTCTAAAGGGGACGTGGCACATCCAATAGGCGTGGAATACTTTATCAGCTATAACTTCGGAACCATAAGTCCCATGAACTTGAGATTTGGTATGCAGGTATAGCCATGGTAGATGCTTATAAAAAGATAAATATAAATGAGTTTGTAAAAAATGGCGTGGCAAATCCCATAGGCGTGGGAATTTTTATCAGCTATAACTTCAAAACCATAAGTCACATGAAACTTAAATTTGGTATGCAGACATATCTATGGTAGGTGCTTATAGTAAGGTGTATATGAATGAGTTTATAAAAGGGGGCGTGGCACATCCCGTAGGCGTGAAATTTTTATTCAGCCATAAATTGGGAACCATAAGTCACATGAACTTGAAATTTGGTATTCAGACATAGGTATCTATGGGAGGTGTTCAGAGTAAAGTATATATAAATGAGTTTGTAAAAGGGGGATATACATATATGTATTCATCTATAAGATAACTTGGATATTTAAAACTGTGTGTGTTTTTTTTTGATAATTTTGAAATTAAATCGTTTTTTATCCCGCGATGCTGTTAAACCAAAAAGGGTCATTCTTAGTGAATAAAACTCCTTCCGAATCAAGCATTCTACCAGAAAAGTGCAGCTATACATACAACAGCTAATCGAATAGGCAGCTAAACGGAATGTACCGTAGTAGAATAATTTTAATTTAAATATTTGAATCTTACCTTAATCCACCTAATATTAATAATGGAACAAGATTTGTAGTACAAGTGATGATCAATATATATTAGTTAAAGCACGATAA